CATGGAGGAAAATGATGTGCTTATAGTCAACAGAGGTTTTTGGCATGCTTTAGAGTTTTTTGAGCTGTGGTTTCAGAACAGAGACGCCCCATTTCCTGAGAAAGCTTTCAAACAGCATAGTACAAAAGAAGCAAACTTGTCGAGATGTGTGTCAAAGGTAAGGTCAAAAGGTGGTTGAGGCAGCCAACAGACACTTAAAGAAATGGAGATACCTTGACTATATAGTCCCAAATTCCCAAATTCCATCGACTGGTGACTTTTTGCGCATCATAGCTGCTATACTCAACAAATATAACCTCCCTTGAAAAGCAATAATGACGGGGATGATGGATTAGGCCGCAGTATGCACATTGCTTCCAACACAACAGAAAACCCACTCCAAAATCGCTGTGCTGCAATGACATTCAACAGCAGGTCCAGACAGTGGAAACCCATGGATGCCAAGGATCTATTGCTTGATATCCCTGTTCTTACCCTCACAGATCTCAGACAAATTACGTTTGGTATCTACCAGATTAAACAAGCATTGAGATATTCAGTACTCTTGTATCTTGGAGACCGCTGATAAATTCTCTGCCCCACAAAGTAACGCAGGAAAGTTACTTTCAAATGAATGAAACTGTAACATTTTTATGCCCGGCCATGAATATGGCCGGGACATATAGTGTTTGTCATGTCCGTCTCCCGTCCCTCTGTCCTTCCATCACACTTTGCGTTTAGCTCTGTTCAAAGCTCAGTTTGAAAGAAACTATCCAAGATATTTTTATCAAACTTCATATGCTGATAGATATTGATGAGAGCTATGCAACTGCATCAACATTTTTTGACCTCGACCTTTCCTTTGACCTTGACCTCACTTTTCTTAAAGTAGTGTTTAGCTCAGTTTTAAAGATACAATTCAAGATAGTGTAATCAGACTTCATATGTTGATATATACTGATGTAAGCTATTCAACTGCATCAACATTTTTTTGACCTTGACCTTTCTTTTGACCTCACTTTTCTTAAATTAGTGTTTAGCTCAGTTTTAAAGATACCATTCAAGAGAGTGTTATCAAACTTCAAATGCTGATACCTACTGATGAGAACTATTCAACTGCATCAACATGTTTTTGACCTTGTCCTTTCCTTTGACCTTGACCTCACTTTTCTTAAATTAGTGTCAAACTTCATATTCTGATACATACTGATGAGAGCTATTCAACTGCATCAATATTTTTTGACCTTGACCTTTCCTTTGACCTTGACCTCACTTTTTTAAAATTAGTGTTTAGCTCAGTTTTAAAGAAATCATTCATAATATTTTTATCAAACTTCATATGCTGATACATACTAATGTAACCTTTTCAACTGCATCAACAATTTTTGACCTTGACCTTTCCTTTGACCTTGACCTAACTTTTCTTAAATTAGTGTCGAACTTCATATGCTGATACATACTGATGTAAGCTATTCAACTGCATCAATATTTTTTCACCTTTCCTTTGACCTTGACCTCACTTTTCTCAATTTGTGTTAAAATATTGCATTACTAATGTACCCTCGGCGGGCATTCATGTCCTATGGACATATTTCTAGTTTAAATTGATCTTTTGTCTATTGACAATATTAAGTAATGCATTTAACACCTAATTGTTTGCATATAGTTATCGCATTCAAACATTTTGCAGTTTACTTGGTATGAATTTCATACTGTTCCATGTTAAAATTTGTGTATATAATATATATTATTGGACCTCATCTGTGATAGATAAATATTGAAAGTTGTTAAAATATGAATGAAAAAAGTCCTGTATACTTTCTTTAGGATTTGAGTTTCGGCATTTTGCTTATACGTGTCATGAAAAGCTGTTCGATGCCTGAAGCAGCTCTGACTATTTTCTCCTAACTTGATATAGCTTTAAATCCCCCACCCCCAATGGTAACAATTGTTGCAAGGAATTGCCAGATGTAGATAAACTTTTTAAACTACATAATCAAGTACATTGTTTCTTTCATCAGGCATTAAAAATAAACTACACAATATCATGTATCTTATAATGTGAAAATAGTTTGGCAATCAACTTTGAAACTTGTCAGGATATTACTTTTGTGACAAGCTGTAAAACACACAAAATTATCATTCTTTATTTTCAAAGTTGTCGTTCCTATTTAAATACCCAGCAATTAGGACACCGTCTTCTGTGCCTTCATTCTTTTTAACATCTGGTAATGAAAATACATTTTAGGTGTTTTCCAAACTTAATGGAAAGGCCCGAGAAGACGCATTTGAGCTAAGGATTTCATCAAATGGTCCGGCCTCCCCCTGCAGATGAAATAAATAAAGATTAATATATGTATTGAGTATAAATTCTAATAATCTCAGATATTAAGTGCATAATTCTTTAAACACAAAGCATAAATTGAAAGAATTTTTATTGTGGCAAAATTGGGCACAACTTTATATCCAGAGACACAAATTGTCATTGCTGGATGGCCCACCAAACATTGATGTCAACTGTTGGGGCATAACATGCAACATTATTTTTATTATTTAAAAAAACTATGAAGTTAGAGGTACTGTGAGCACTGAGCTCACAAAATGATAACCCTTACCCCCATAGAGTACAGTGCCAAAGTCAATACATATATTTTGCTTTGGGAAAGCTCAAATATGTGTTCAATCAGAAAGTAAAATAGGAGGTGCACAATGGCACTGCATGATAAAGATTCTTTGAAAGGATCATTAAATATTCAGTAATATAGGAGGAGTTAGAGATGAGAGATTCTCTGTGTAGTTTGAAATATTCTTTTGGTCATTCCACACAAATTGGGTCTTACCTGGTACTGTAACCATTATAGACTTAAAGGGGCCTGGACACAGTTGCATTGCTTACATTTTAAATTTCTATGTTTATTCAAAAAATAAAATAAGTTTAAAAATTTAAACTAACATGAATATTCTTATCATTCATTGACAATGACATATTCTTCTTTACATTACTACCAACATCTGTTTTTGTAAACAGGGCAGTCAAGCTCTGTTATTGTTAATGTTTACATTTTATAGGTTGTTTAATTTGTTTACTCTGCACACATCACTGAGCAAGGACTCACAATACTGGTGAGTTGGTTTTGTTTTCTCACATTTTTACTCTGAGTTTTCTGGATTATAGTTTTAATATTTTTCATTAACACACAACAAATTTTTACTTTTCTTAAATATTAAGGACAAAGTTCTTCCTGAAAGTGCAAGGATATGTGCCAATCAAATGCATCCTGAAATTTGTAGTTTTAATTATTTCCAGATGAAAGAAGTTTCTCAACTCATAGTTATTACATTTTGGCGTGAAATGCTCTAGCAATATATAAATCATGATGTTACACTGAAAATTTTAGAAAATATTTAATCTGTCCAAGCCCCTTTAAAATTCAGTGAATGGTGAATACCCTGGTATGTGTTTTTAATGACCCATGTCAAGTACTATATGACCTCAAACACAGAAAATGATTGGTACCTCACAAGCTTATAACCACATTTTACCTACCAGGTATACTTAAGTCCATGATAGCCTTGTTGATAAAGAAACTATTATCTTTATTAATGTTTGAAATTGATCATTGTTAGTTCATCTGAGCACCCAATGTCTATCATCTGCCCATTTGTCTGTCTGTCTAGCTGTCCATCCATCATCTGTAACTGTTCACATTTTCAACTTCTTCTCAAGAACCACTGGATCAATTTTAACCAAAGTTAGTACAAAGCATCCATGGATAAAGGGAATAGTAAATAGTTACAATGAAGGGCCTAACCTCCTTCCAAGGGGAGATAATTATGAAAAGGCAAAACTAAGGTGGGGTCATTAAACAATCTTCTCAAGAACAACTGGACCAGAAAAGCTGAAGCTTATGTGAAAGCTTCTTGAGGTAATGAAGATCTTAAATCATACAAAACCCCAGGCTAGAGTGGTGCCACAATAGGGAATCAAAGTTTTACATTAAAATATATAGGGAAAAAAATGCTAGCTTGGTCAGTTTTATAGTTCAGGTACTGTTATTTAGATTCATTAGCTCAAATTTGAGATGAGCTTATGCTATACCTTTGGAATCAGTGCTGATCTCTCAGTTAAAGTTTTTGGAGCAAGTCCATTCCCAAGAAACTGTAAGCTGTCTCTGGACTTAATTTGCATGGATTATGCATCTATGCATATTATCAGATTCGCTTTGGATGCTGGGGACTCTGGGGCAAGTCCATTCCAAAGTAACTATAAGCCCTACCTGGAATAAGATTATATGGATGAAGAATCTCAAGATACACATTACCAGACATGCTTAGGATGCCAAATATGACCCATATTTTCTAATTGAGTGACAAGTTTCAAGTTTTTGGAGAATTTCCCTTCATGGGTAACAATATGCCAAACTTGTATGCATATCTGTATCTAGGGATGCTGGATCTGACCTATGTTTTCTGGATGACTGAACAGGTTTAAGTTCTTGAAGCAAGTCCATTCCAGTGTAACTATAAGCCACTTACATGGATGATCCATCTAGGGATGCACACTACCAGGCTTGTTTCAGATGTTGTATCTGACCAACCTTTTGGAGCAGGTCCATTTCCAAGTTACTACTGTATGTCATACACATGTACCTGGACCATATTTGTATTTAAAGGATTATGCATTTAGGGACGCACACTACTAGACAAGTGTCTGGCCTACATTTTAAGATGAATAACCATTAGTTAAAGTTTCTGGAGCAGGTGTATTCCAAAGTAACTTTAAAGCTTGTTGTTACATCTAGATATGTACACTAAGAGAACATTCACTTGATGAGAGACATTGCCTTCAATTATAAATAACATTCATTGAGGTGGGCTTTGTAATATGTTATTGTTACACAATGATTTCATTCCAAATACATTCTTAGAGAGAGGATCAGAAAATCTAATTCATATTAATTAAATTTCTATAAGTAAAATTCTCAAAAAATTTTCATTTTCAGGTTTCAGACAAATTGAAGTTTCTTACCTTTCAAGATTTCATCCAAATGAAATTGAACTGGAAGTTTAAATTTTGCTGTTTAATAGCAGTTGTGTTAGTCACCAGTATTTTATATGAATTATGGTTTGTTGGTGGAGAAGAGATTTTATTTTACAAGCCAGTATCTAGGCAAAGCAGCAAGGACATTTTCAGTTTTTCCCTCAATCAACAACATGTATACCAAACAGATGGAATGTTAAACAACAGATTTTTTTCAGCAGAAGATGTTACAGATTTCATATTACTGATTTTAAAAGATAAAAATGTTATGGTGGCTTTACAAACTGTATGGAAAAAAACTTCAAGAGACAAAGAGAAATTATTGTATGACCTGATTAAAAATGAGAAATTTGAGGACAAGGCAAATTTCATGCTGAAGGACATATTAAACAAAAGGAATAAGAATGTATTTTTGGACATTAATGAAAAGTATGAGTTTAGTGTTTTAAATCGCACATGTCAGAACATTGAGAGGGATCTCCAAGGAAGAGGAAAGTGCATTTTGTCACTAGAGGACACGTTGTGCTCAGAGAGAAAACTATCAGACAAGACTAAAAGGAAAAAGCAGAAAAACAAATCACAACAGATATGGACAGGACAAAAAGTGAAACTTTGTGATTACATGTATATGAATTCAGTAAGTATGAACATACATGTATATGAAAACTCTTGTCAGTGGTTTTTTGATCATGTGTGCTAAAAAAGCTTTTCAAAACTTATCATCATTTCTTAAAGCTACTGCATGCTGCTTTCATTTTGGTTCTAGTTTCTTAAAGCTTTTCTGAGCCGAAGACTCAAAGAGCTATTATGTATGGCCATTTATGTGGTGTGTGTCTACTTTTTGAAATATTGGCCATCTCAAGAACTCCTCCCTTGGTCAATTTAGTCAGAGAGTATCTTTGATTCAAGGGCTTTCAGTTATACTAATCAACTAAGAAGTAGGTCACAGTGACCTGCTTTTGGAATTTCATAACTGTATCTCAGTATTTAGGGTACTGAGAGGCTAGGAATCATCAAACTTTGATAGTAGACTCACCTTTTTCCTTGTATTGTGTCAACCAAAAAGTAGGTCACTGTGACCTACTTTTTGGAATTTCAAGGCTAAATCTGAATATTTCAGATAATAATAGGCCTAGAATTATCAAACTTTTTTAATCAGACAGTTGATGTATCTTGGGTTCTCAAAGCTTGTTAACCAAAAAAAAAAAAAAGGTTAAGGTGACCTAATTTGGTAAATTCAAGACTTTATGTAAATATTTTGTATATAAAGTAGGGATGTCAAATCGGTCAATATTTGATAATCGGTTACTCGGACGATTTTCCGATCGAGTACCCGGGTACTCGGAAAAGCGGTATACATGAAAAGTTTGTTGATTTTATTGAGACATGTTTACCCCATCGATGTTTTCTTTCATTTTTAATGCATGTACATAAACATCGAGCCCAACGAAAACGATTTTTTGGTACTTAATTTATGTATCAAACAAACACAAAAGACATGATCAATTATTACACCAACAATTACGAATGATTTACAGTTCTTTTTTAGGAAGACAATTTGATCAACGGAAGAGAAGGACGCAACTTTGTAGTGATTAGACTAGCGAAAGAGAAGCATGTCTTTGGGAATGGACCCTGTCGTGATCGCGAGTCGTACATGTATATTATTTACATTTCCAAGTTTTCTCTTAATAACTCTGAAAGTTAATTATGTTGATTTCTTGATATTTACAACTTCACCTGTTATGCATAAATTATCCCACATTTCCAACTGCCGTTGATGCTCTAGCATACCCAACAAACTAGACAGCGATTCCTTAAATATATGGTTGTTTCACCTCGTATACGCTGATATTTCTATGTATGTCCGATTTCGCTACCGTATGCTAATTAATTAATCTAAGGGTAATCAATAGATCATAATTAAAAGATATTCATTGAAAACAAATAATTAAAGCCATTCAAAAATTAGGGTCACAAGAGGTGAGAATACCTGTGTATGATCATCCAGTGATTGGTCACGGTAATTACTGTATACACATGTACACAGCCAAAGGCGGTAACGGGTATAAACTAGTGTAGGTGACGCTAATTACTGTATAGACATGGACAATAAATATTTAAATAACATTTTTTGATGAGTTTTTAATAAAAATATGCACTTTGAAATATGAAAAAAATATACATCCGAGTAACCGAGTACCGATTTTAGTATTCGATACTCGGACATTCGATCGAGTACCCGGTTAACCGGGTACTCGTTGACATCCCTAATATAAAGTGACTTTAAATAGAAGTGATAATGTTGTACAGTTAATCAGAAGAGGAATTCTAGGCTTTGTTTCATATTTAGTCCAGCAGAGTCGCTGAGAAAACTGCTGTGTTGCAATCACTATTGAAATAATGCCCACTATTGAAATAATTATTTCAATAATGATTGAGAATGCATTTCAAAACCAAAACCAGGTTGCAACCACTATTGAAATAACGTTCACTGTTGATATAATTATTTCTTCAGTGATTGTGAATACATTTGAAAAGCAAATCCATTTTGCAACCTCTATTGAAAAAAAAAGTTCACTATTGAAATAATTAATATACACATGTAAAGATTAATTTTCAGTTACCGGTATGTTTTCCAACTTAACAAAGGAATATATTGAGTTCAAAATATGACATGTACTTGTATTTTTTCCTTTCTTTTGTAGAAAACTATTAATACAAAACAACATAATAATTACATTTTTTGAGCTTTAAAGTTTATATAAAAATTTAAATGCAACCATAAAGTGGCCTCCCATTGTCCAACAACTCTCAAGCTAACATTTATCTGCACCCTATCTCTTTATTAGGTCACCTGAGTCACTCAGGTGACCTATTGCTATCTGTTTTCGTCCGTCATCGTGCGGGTGTGCGTCGTGCATAAACTTTTCACATTTTCGACTTCTTCTCAAGAACCACTGGGCCAATTTCCACCAAACTTGCCACAAACTATCCTTGGATAAAGATGATTCAAGTTTGTTCAAATGAAGGGCCACGCCTTCTTCCAAGGGGAGATAATTAAGAATTAGTGAAAAATTAATGGTATCTTTTAAAAATCTTCTTCTCAAGAACCACTGGACCAGGTAAGATGAAACTTATATGGAAACATCCTCAGGTTGTGTAGACTTTAGTTTCTAAAAATCATGACCCCCAGGGGTAGGGTGGGGCCACAATGGACGGTCAAAGTTTTACATAGAGATATATAGGAAAAATCTTTAAAAATCTTCTTCTCAGGAACAGCTAAGCCCTGATTGGTCATATTTATATGGAAGCATCCTCAGGTAGTGTAGATTCAAGTTTGTTCAAATCATGACCCCTGGGAGTAGGGCGGGGCCACAATGGATGATCAAAGTTTACATAGAAATATATAGGAAAAATCTGTAAAAATCTTTTTTTCAAGAACAGCAAAGTTGTGATGAGTCATATTTATTTGGAAGCATCCTCAGGTAGTGTAGATACAAATTTGTTCAAATCATGTCCCCTGGGAGTAGGGCGGGGCCACAATGGATGATCAAAGTTTACATAGAAATATATAGGAAAAATCTTTAAAAATCTTTTTTTCAAGAACAGCAAAGTTGTGATGAGTCATATTTATATGGAAGCATCCTCAGGTAATGTAGACTCAAATTTGTTCAAATCATGACCCCCGGGGGTAGGGTGGGGCCACAATGGATGATCAAAGTTTTACTTAGAAATATATAGGAAAAAGCTTTTAAAATCTTTTTCTCAAGAACAGCAAAGCTATGATTGGTTATATTTACATGGAAACATCAGGTAGTATAGATTCAAGTTTGTTTGAATCACGACTCTGGACTCTAGGGATTGGGTGGGGCCACAATGGATGATCAAATATTTACAAAAGCTCCTTCTATCAGTTTATTTTAAACTCTATGGATCTTACATGGATTGTTGTTTTATACTCAGGTGACCGTTAAGGCCCTTGGGCCTCTAGTATTGCATCCTCATCCATGTTTAAAAACTTGCCTACACTACCAATATTGATAGTAAAATTACTGTTTCTACTTGTCTAGCAATGAAAACAAGACTTCAGGGGAACTTAGTAGGCATTATCAAAATAATGGGTGTTATCAAAATAATGGTCACTATTATCAAATTGTTTTTGAAATTCAATTCAATTCAGTTTATTCTCACATTGTATAAAACAACATAGAGAAAATAGAACAACGATATCAAACAAAATACATGATGCAAGAGTGTACATTAACCTGGAAGGGTAACTCTCTTATTAAGGCCAGAGTTTTTTTATTTTCTGTTTAACGGGAATTTTTAAGAAAAAGTCGGGTCGAGGGGACGAAATAAAATAAAAATAAAAAGTTCAAAATTTGTCGAGTCGAGACCATAAAAAAAATAAAACCCAAAAATGGTATGAATTTTTTTTTTTATAGAATGTTGAAAAATGAAAGAAAACACAATAAAATTTTGTTTATCATTTATTTGGATTTCAAATATGGATAAAAAGATACACCTCCTAACTATATGCATGTGTCATCCTACTGTGGTTAATTACAAACACAAATACAAATATTTATTAGCACAAACACAATTACAATAATTGGCAAAGGCACAACACATTATAAGAATCATCAATTGTTCATACATAAATATACAATATTTTTAGTATAGAATGTGAGGCTATACATAATTATAAATCATACATCATTTGTATAATAATTATGTAATGCAATCATTTCTAGCTACCAGACTTTTTTTAATAAGTGTGTGTGTTATTTTCAGTATTTCTGGACAATGGCTATTAAAACAAAGCTTAACTTTTTGAGTATAAGACATATTTGATATTTTTCCTTGAAAAAAATTCATCAAGTTCCTTTCAAAAGTTAACCTATGATTATTGTATTTATGGCAGCTGAATAGAAAATGAAATTCATCTTCAATCTCCCCTGTGTTGCAAATATTACAAAATCTTTTATCTGTGGGTATAGACAAATGTCTCCCTTTTTCTATGGTACTTGTAAACTCTAGTATGAAAGCAAAACAATAAAATTTACAGTTTAAATTATTATATAGCAACAATAATGTTGGATACACGGACAACAGAAAAATCCACACTGCTCAAAAATTTATAGATGTCTTCTTTTGGTCATCTCCTACTGTATAAAATTTATAAAAGTAATGATAAGAAATGTTTTAAGCTACATATATTTTGATTAAACAGAAGTTTGGAGAAAGATATGGGGTTGATAGCTAACTTGACAATGCATTCCTAGTATAGGACTAAGACATTCTTGAGGTTCAGAATGGAAATTTGTCAGCTGAAATTATTTGACGAACAACAGCAGTCATCTTGGAAGTCTTCTGAACTCTTCACAAATGGTTGGGTCTCCACCAAGAAATCAAACTGCACAAAAAATGCATTGTTCCTTTAAGATACTTTATTAATATAACCAAATACAAGTAGTAGTTAGAAAGTAGAAGATAAAAAACAGTATTTATATGAGATTATTTTCTTTTCTAAATGAAGATACAAAACATTTTTTAAGAGTTTTTGATAATAACACATTTCTTATATTATAAATATAATAATTTTGTCCTTTGTTCAATTTGCATTTAAAATAT